ATGAATCCTAACGAAACCTTCAGTAAGGCAACTACTAAAGAATTTATCTGTGCCATTTGTGATGCAATGTATTTTTTTTTATTTTGTTGTATATTGACTAGGTCACCTGGCATAAGGCAGGTGAAGGTATGTTGTAGTGGCTCCCTTTAAATGTAAGTCAGCTAAACAGCTTTTAATGTGAATGGACATTCCTTTTATAACTTTTTAATTCAAGTTAAAGATCTTTGCTCTTGAACCTTTTTGAGTTATTAGCAAGATATATTTATTATGTACAGTGGACCTTTAGATATCTGTCCATGATTTAGAGGGTCAGAAATGACTGGGTCATGTAATCAGACTGAATGTTGCTTGTGTCTTGTGTGACAATTTTTAAAAAAAGATGATCATGCTATGTGGTGTCTGCATGATATCAGTTGGAAGAGGTCCCACTGTATATGAGTAGAGGCCTGACAGCCAAGTGTTGTAGGTGCTGAGTTCTGGTGCAGCGCGGCACACTCGAGCCCACTGGTCGCCATCCATCCATCCATCCAAGCTAGCCTCGTGTCATTTGTGCAGGGTCCCAATGTGTTGTGCTGCATGGTGAGCCTCTGTTTCCACTAACCAAATTCAGAAGAGAAGTGTGATGTCTGAGACTTTGCAGTCAGGCAAAATTCTTTCACTGCTAACCGTTTCCAATCCCAACGCTGCTGGGATTCATACATGATCTCAGTATATCAAAAGCTTGAGTTGCATATTGTTGGTAATTTGCTTTTACTCTTCAAACTTGACATTGTTACCAGAAGGTTTGTAGAATTTAAATAGATTGAAAATATTTAGCATTAAGAGTATCTGCTAGAATCTCTATTGCTTCAAGGACCTGCAAATCTGATTTTGTTAAATATATTTGGTTCCGTTGGTTATTTGTGGTTATCTAAGCTTAAGCCTGGTTCCCAAAAAGACAGTAATCAACAAGTAGATATCAAAGTTGCTAGAGACCTAGTCCAATACTGGTCATTTCCCAAGGATAAAGAAGGAAGATGTAGCATTTGAACTTAAACTCAGATTCTTTGCAAGAACAAAGTTGAAAGTGCACTGCATTTGACACTGTGTCATCTAGGTTAGAATGCTGGTGTGATTTGTT